TGTATCACACACATACGCGTTATCTCCAATTAGATAGAAGCTATTCTCCGTTTCACTTAATTGCCCGTACAATGTACTCTGCTGTCGTTACAGCTCCTAGGCTGAGCCACAATAATGCAGATAAAGCGACAACGCTAACCGGAACACGCCTGAATATTCATGCCGTAGCATCGATCATGCTATCTACAATAGTGCTGTGGGCCCACACCACCCGCCCCCTTTTGTCGAGGAGCTCTGACAGAAACAATCCACCCATCAACGCAGTCTGACAGCACTCCTTCTGCGATTTTCATTTTAGAATATGCTGCCGCCACGTCGCGAGCTCTGGGTGAACGAGAACCCCCACCCGTTTCGTCATTCCGAAGTGGACTGCTCTGCGCTAAGTGACTTGGTTCTCAGCTTCTTGACAAGAAATGGCTTGAAAAGTCAACTTTACCCTGAGTGTCAAACATATGCTGTTCCCAAGATGGATCCTGTAGCTGGATTGACACCTTAGCGTATCGAATGGGAACATGTGATAGATAATGCAAGTTGCTGCAGTGGGTCTATATAACGCTATGTGAATAGCATGTCTGTGGCTCCAAGAGGCTTGCTTCCTTATTGCGACAGCATACTTTGCTGATTTACCCTTCCAAACCTTTCAAGGTTAGACCGTCTGTGAGGCACCACATGCTTAGGTTCAATTCCACCAAACCGCTTGTCACTAGTGGCAAGCCCCCCGCACTCGTCATTCTCCTTTCCGTATTCCACATCTACGTCCTGCCAGAGCGAATTCAGGCCTTCAACCACCCAGCATCAAGGTCCCGTCACGTTGGCTGAGTGTTCATCTGCTCGAGTCGGTCGCTAAAGAGAGCAATTAGCAACCTTAAACTGCAATGTTTGGTTTTACGCGTGCTCCCAAAATCTTGTGCCAACTGGTTTTCCGACTCTTGATGCAGCTTGTTTCGTTTTCACGCGCGGCCTCCTCGCTTCCGCGATACGAGCGTGCAAGCTCCACAAGTATCGTTTCGTAGCCCACCTTGTTGCCCATTGCACCATTCCCCGAGTGAACCTTAGCAATCTTGCATCCAGCTAAGTTTTTTTTGCTGTATTGCCTTCGAGAAACGATAGAAGCGTGTCGTCCGTTTCTTCAGGCTGAGATGTACCAATACGCTTCACCATGTCGGTACCAGAATCCGGAAAACCATGTTGCTGAAGGTGCGAAAAAAAGCAAAATAAACTAAATCTAGAGCTACTACACATTACAAGCAAATACATCGTAGCCAATCGCTTAAATTGCTTGATGATGCCCTAATCATCAATAAATGGTGTATCCTGTTCGTCCCTGCCACACAATCGTCCAGCGAGACGAGGAGGGCTGTCACGTGAGACGGAGCCATCCCGCAAAGTTGGTTGTTTATTGGTCCAAGCTTCCGCCCCGCAAGTTATAAGACTCAGCCTTAGGCCAAAGTAAAGTAACGCAAAACAGTCTCTTGTCACACTGCCGGGTAGCATACCCACGTGTACACATCTTGCGAGAAAAAACTTTCCGTAACGTCACTGCCGGACATTTACAGAATACAGGGTACTGTAAATGGTCCCATCGCTCTCACGGACGAAGGCAGCGCGCAGACGCCCCACTCGTGAATTTTCACGTATATACAGCGGGAAAGCCTGGGGCTTGAGAAGATAAGTGAGCTATTCGTCCACGGGGTGATACCCACAATGGGCCGCATACGTTTTTAACTCAAATTCGCCAGGCTGGCAGCAGCTTACCGGCTCAGAGGCTCCCATTGTTGCTCTCGTCGCTGAACTTGGCTCGAGCGAGGTAAAAGTGATGGCAATTGCACTTTGCAATGGGCCGTTTCATTCTCTTTAAAATCTAGCCCTAGCAAACTTTTATCCAATCCGATTACAGTATTTCTTGCCGGTTTGTGCAACGGCAAGAAAAACGCACAATTTCGTCGAGATCCAAAAAGTAAACATCTTTTCGTAACCACTTACAGCATCACCGGCAAACGATGTCATTTGGAGGAGGCCAGCAGATAATGCGGCTGCGAAGCAGGCGTAGGAAATGAGTGTCAGCATTTTGTTTTTAGATCATGCATAAGGCTGAATTATAGACTACTATTCTACTTTAAAAACATATTTTGAAACAATTTGAAGAGGCCTCTGTTGATAAATCAGCAAACTCGTCCACGGTAATCACGCCGCTTCCGATGACAGGTCGTTTTAAAGCACTTGGCTATTAGCCCGTATTTTGCATCATTTCCTATTTGTAAGAGTTATGCACTCTTACAGGTAAGGATTACCAACTGATGAGTGGTTTGAAATATGCCATGGCAGAATCACCTAAGCCCCATTTCCAGCCTCACGTACAAACAATTGTTCTCTAAAACATAATATTTTTTCGGAGAATAAAGTGTATCCTCTGTTGTTATTTACTGCTAGAAAACAAGTTGCACTAAAAATATGACGCGAGGAAGACGCGCTGCCAAAAGGTGAAACAGACTCTAAACGGTCACGATAGTAAAAAGTTGAATACTAAAGTAAGTAATTGCAGAACTCCCGATATGTTTCTGTTCTTCCTATATCGTTGATTAAATTTTACTATGATCAACTAAAG